ATGGCTGAGTATATGGGTTTGGTGGTCATGATGATCAGGATATTTAAAGATAAATGAATAAACGTTATTAGTAACTGAATAATTGAATTGTGTGTAATGATACTGCCCACCAAATTTAGACAATAAGGAATAAAACGATACAGAAATGACAGTCCTTTACAAAGCGAGAAAGAACTTACATGTTTTTGAGGTAGCAGCTGTAGCAAGGTAGGCAGTTCTAGCTACGCAATTGAAAATAAGGCCGCCTCTACTCTGGAAGGATCGCTGGTAGTCCTAAGGAAGAGAAAAAGAGAAAAAAATTAGAATGACTTCTAGGTGCGATTCTTTTTTCAATCGTCATTATTTTTGTTTTCTCTGTCTTGTTTGTGTATGATGCACTGTGCATTCATCGCCTATAGCTATTCACCTTGTGTGCACTGTGCGAGTGCTTCTCTACAGGTACGCGTTTCTATCCCGTGTCCGTGTCAAGAAAATACAGTAAATATAAACCAAATGCTGAATTATCACATCACCTTACCTCAATTTCCCAATAAAAGTAAAAAGGAAGAATGCAGGCAACATAGCAGTCTGAAAAACAGCTGCTGGATGCCCATATAGCTACAGGGAGACATCATGGTAAACGCCCGTCTGTCAGTTGGGAAAACACGTGTGACATTAGAATAAGATCTTGGGTTCGCCTCTGTTTACGGTGACTCTGTTCTATATAGGAATGAGTATTTCTGGGTAATGTGATTATGGGCATGCTTAAGGGTTGCATAATATACTGCTTACAAATGGAAAAGACTGTATAATAGTTGGATCGATCGTGGTTATATATTTCGGATTGCTCGATCAACTTTTTCGACCAACCTACAGCAAATTATCTTTTAAAAGCAAAATGTGCTCTTAAACCAAAGGACACGGTACAGTGTAACCGAATGCGTGCACACTCGAACACTCGACTCGCCCAAATATAGCCGCCATGGCGGAAAACACACTCAGTCTTCCGTAAGCCGACAAGGGGATTGTTACAATAATAACAATTATTATTAGAATTACTGTACGTTGATTCTTGGTCTCTGTCATTAATATGTTTACATGAGGTGTGATTCATGATAAATGTAATTTAGTTGTAAGGTGTTAATGTCAGTCTTTCTTTTTCCCATTTTTCTAGTTGAGTGATTTATGGAACGTGTGATTATGTAATGATCCTGTACGTATTTTAGTATGAATTATGAATTCTTGCTTGCATAAATATGTCATTATACCAATAAGGTAGCAGGGAAGGACACTACGTAATGCTTATGAATACAGGCCAAAACAATGTTTATATCTACGAGGACACGCACATACGAACGCACGCGCTGTTGTTGATATTTGTGGAGTTTGAAAAGAAAAAACTAAAATTGTATTTGGATTTCACGACTAGACACCGTAAAGTTAACAGTGCCTCTTAGAGAAAAGAAAGGAAAAGAAAAGAAAAAATATTGTATTTGGACTAATTATAAATTAACAGTGCCTCTTAGAGCTTATCAAAGTTATCAAACTGAAATGGAAAGCATTCACATTGATCTAGGGGAAGATCTGGGAAGATAAAGAAACAGAATCAGAAACTCCAAACAAGTGTAAAAGGAAAATTAACTTATAAAACGAAGAAGATTCACTTTCAAAATTCAGGCGAAATGAAACAGAACACTTAAACTTCCCGCTAAACCAGGAAGCCGACAGTCTTCATCAAACAGAACAACTGCAACTGGCACTGCCACTGAAACGCAAGTATAAACCTAACAAAATGTAATTTTGATTCATTTAAATGGTAGATCATATGCCTCAGACTTTAATAACCCAGACAGGTAAATTTAGAAATGACGCCTAACACTGATTTTCCGATGAACAATAAATATACTTTTCTAATAGTTTATGTCGTATTTCGAAGAAATTTGGCACTCATATCCTTCGCAAACGAAGCACAGCTACGATATCGGTCCCGATAGATGGGAAGGGGATGATACACATCAGGGAATTGGGGGGGGGGGGTGTCGACAACTATCAGTAATACAAGGGAGAGCACAGTATACATTTAGCTAGTAACAGAGCAAGGGCCTGTGAGAAAAATAACGAAGTTTAAACTGATAAAAGGGGGTCGAGACCCCTTGCGTGTTTTTTTTTCTGCTTGTGGAGAAAGAACTACGGCAGATATGACTGGTTAATGGTGTTTGTTGCTCTGCTGACGGCTACTGTGTCAGTGAGTTGTATGGGTGCGCATTGTTTTCTTTCTCGATAAATAACTACATTTTGAAGTACATTTCTGTTACTTATAACATACCTTGTATGTTTAGTTAGGAATGTATAAGGATACATTGATAGTGTACCCACACTATCAATGTATCCTTATACAAAAAAACATTGTAAACATGTGTAAGAAGAAAAGGTGAACTAAATTACAAAACAACTGAAGGAACACTGGCCAGAATTTACAATTTGGGGGATGGGGAGGGGGAGCCGATCGTTTTTTTAACCTTCCTGTGGTGATCTGCCGCTACGACCGTTGTGTTGAGCAACGTTCGCGGTGGCTGATCTGGAGGATGAGAGGTATCGTCGCCGAGGGGTTGGGGTATCTCACTTTTTATTTATTGATTTATTTTCTATAAACCTCCTATTTTGATCTGCAGTTGTGATATCTGGGTGACTAGAGTTCGCAAAGGCAGAAGTCCTGGAGGATAAGAGATATCCTCCCCGAGAGGTTGGGATATCTCACTTTTTTTTTTCCAAGATCAGCGTTAGTAGAGGGACCGGGGTGGTGGCTGTGGGTGTGTGCATAGACTGCGAAGCCACCGGAGATGGTTAGTGTTTGTGTTGTTGTGTGTTTCATGGACGGTTGTGTAGAGAGGATTGTTTGCTGCGCTGGGCTGATGACTGTTTTGTAGAGTTTTAGCTTTATCTGTGTTGTGCGCTGCGAGAATCGGTGTAGTGTGGCAAGTATTGCGGTTGCCTGTGTTATGCGATGTTTCGTGTGCGGTGTTAGACCCCATGTATTGAAGGAAAGACCGAGTAATTTCCCCGAGTTTCCTTAGGGAATGTGAGTGTTGTGTATTTGTATGTCTGATGGGTTGAATCTGGCTCTTGGGTCGATTGTGAATTTGTGTGTTTGTATTTTCCACTTCCTCTCAAATGTGTTTATATTTGTGATGGCTATTTCTGAGGCACGTTTCATGATGTCCTTTGATTTGCAGGGGTGCGTGATGGCTTGAGTGATGTCGTCTGCTTATTATATGTGGTTGCTGAATGGTGCTGGAAGTGGAAGGTCTGATGTGTATAATATGAATAGTGTTAGTGATAGAATGCTCCCTTGCGGTACCTCACTCATGAGGGAGATGGGGTTCCAAGGTAGTTTTCAAGGCGTATGTTTACTGTTATGTTATTAAGGAAGTTGCAGAGTTGACGGGTGATGTTGGGTGCTAAATATAGGTGTTTGATTTTGTGTTTTAGTCAATCATGCCAAACTTTGTCGAAGGCCTTGCCGATTTCCCCAGAGAATGATATTTGTCTGTTTTTCGTTGGCGAGACTGAGTGCGATAGCGCCCTCAGTACCTCTGATCTGAACTCGTATTGATGGGGATTGTGTATGTTGTTTGTTTCAAGGTGTGTGTTTTCGAGCAAGGAGATCGGCCTGTAGTTAGTGACATAATGGACCGATTTGTTTGGTTTGGGGATGAGAGAAAGTTTTGCTTTCTCGAACCAAGACGGAAAGAGGCCTGTGGCCACGGAAGCGTTGAATATATGGCAGAGTCTGTGTATCACATTAGGGGGAAGGTATTGAAGGATTGTTTTGTTAATTTTGCTTAGTCCAGGAATTTTGTTTTGATATGTCGTTTTATTTCTGCAACTTCTCTCGATATAATTGGCGTGTTGAAGGTGTTTGTGCTGTCTAGTGTATTGAAGTTAATTAAGTTAGAGGGTTATAGGTGTTGTGACTGTTCTTGCACAATATATGCACTCGCTTCCAGGTTATATCGCCCCCTTAACCCCCCCCCCTTTTTTTTGGGGGGGGGGGGGGGGGTGTCACCTCTCACCCCCCCCCCCCCCCCGGTCCACAAAATCTTCATCTCATATGTTCCGGCAGGAGAGAGCCCAGACCCAGAAACAGTTTTACCCACACCTAACCTCAAGTATTATCTCGTGGTCTCCCTGGACGTTATTGACGGGAATCGTGATTGCTCTCCGCCGTTCCTTATCGGACAGCGGAGGGTTCGTTTCGCGGCCTCGGCTAGGAAATGATGATGGACTGGTGTCTTGTCTTTTCTGTCATTACACGGTGTCTATTACGGTTCGGAGACAATACTTCCACAGGCAGTATACCATGGTTTCGCGAGTATAATATTATTTCGATATTTTGCAATGAAATCGAAATAGTTATCTTTCCACACGACGCACTACTTAGCCATGATGGAACTGATTTGAATTTCAATTGCCTTCTCCTAGGCCCAGATTCTATTACCACATGATCTAATTTCCCTTGCCTATGTCATGCGCTACGAATCCGTCCGATTTTCCGTCGTCTTCAACGACTTTCTGTCATATTGTCACGACGGTGGAGGTATAAGGTGGTTGGTTGCGATTCGTGGATTTCGTACCTTTATTACCATTATTATTAGTTTGTGAAGAAAATGATATAGAAGACAACTTCCATAGAATGATGTGTTCTACTACTCGGTAAGCTCAGATTCTGTGTATAAGGTGTTAAGCGTTATTTCCAATAATACCGCCAGTCAAACTAACATGCAGTAAACAAGTTTGAATTCCAAAACTACATAAAAGTCCTTGGTACAGGCAACGCTATAAGGTTTGAGGTATATAAACTTTCTAAAACAAGACCACTGCATGAAATAAAAAAGGCAATTGGGAAGTAAATTGCAAGCAGCCAACTTCCAGCCAAAATATTGGTGGTTCCTACGGAACCATATTCCCCGTAGAAAGACTTGAAAATAGCATAAAAAAATCGGAATGATTGGGGACGAAATTCAAACATTACTGAAACAATGAGAATAAAAAAAAGTAAAACAAGGAAATAATCAGTAAAGAAAAATGGCAAGAGGGCACATTTCATACCAAGTTCACCAATATAATTTCCTTATTCCCACGTGCTATAATTCCCAAATAAACGGTCATGGCACCATAACATGCAAAAACAAAAATGCAGTAAATATTGTGGCTTTAGTCACATGTTCAAAGATTGCAATAACGATCTATACTGTCAACGGCCAGACTTATTGAAGTATCATTGGAATGGTAATCTATTGGCATTTCTGACTTGTAAGACCATTACATACCATGAATTTGGAGTTTTCCAATGGTTGTATGGTAGATGGAATGGTAGTTCAGGGGAACTCCACATTCCATTGAAGCTACAGAGTGTGGTGTTTATCCTATGGAGGGATAAGCCTTTAGTGTTTTACATGGCACTATAGACACCTGGTCTCGGGGACATAAGGGTGATCCTCTATAGGCCTTGTAAACAAGGGCACCACTGTGCTCTGTGCTGGGTCGGCACGGTCACGGGAGGCCGAGGCGCTTATGTGGCACTTGTGCCGCAGTTCAGTACTAACTGTCGTCGAACATGGGTGTTCGTGGGGGTTTATCTTGGGTAGATATTCCTAATTACGGTTATAACAGTACTGAATTCCGTGTGACTATACGAAGTAGATGAGACATGGGTCTACATCTCTTCGTACTCTCCAAGGGGAGAATTTTGGACTCGTCAGGAGACGAGGAATTTCAATTGTAACAGTAAGTACCCATTAAAGGTATAACATTATTTCATGTGTTTATAATCACCAATTGATATAATACTGAAATAAGTGAAGTTTACAAGAAGGAAAGTCATACGTAAAACTGGACGTATTATTCTTATAACAAACACTGAACCCGCTCTGGAGAGAGTGGAATAAAAATCTGTTATCCAGTGGCCTACACGCGAGTATATTTGGTTATATTCACTTGTTGCCATCTTTACTCAAGGGTGGTAAGAAGTGGTATAGCCGCACTCAAAAGACGGCTAGGTAACAATACTATTTTTACTGCAAAGAAAACTATGCACCAGTAGACATTAAATGTAAGTTTCACAAAAGGCACAAGAAACAAAAAATAACACCAAATAAGCTAGAAGTAAAATAACAGCTACAAAAGTTAGTCATTAACAGATGAAAAGCATAAACAATATAATAATAACATATCAGTATATACATTAAGAAATAACAGCATACAAGTTGAGAACTCATCACAAAACAGATAATAGCAAAAAAGACAAAAAGAAAACAAAGACACAACACCAAACATGAAAAAACATAAGAAAACAAACTCCCAAAAAGAAACAAAATTTTGAGAAGTTTTGAAAGGAGAATCACAGAAGACAACACAACAAAACAGTCATCATTAACATGGTCATTACCAACAACTATACAAAACATAAAGACACACAAAACAGTAATGATAAGGAAAATTATTTCTCATGGGTTTCCTTCAGTAAAGATTTATACAAAATAATAACATATATAATGGATGATATAAACGAAGGAAAATCAGTTATCACAATAATTGCAGAAGTGCTGCTGAACATAGGGCCTTTAATAAAAGCATTGATAGAGCATATTACTTAATAATACAATATAATGGAACAAGAGATCAATAATAAATAAAGAAATTGAAATAAACTATTTAATTTATAAAGAAAACCATTACATAATAGCATTATGCAAAACATGGTTAAAAGGTAACAACAAACTTAAGATCCAAATTATGAAATAAATAAGAAAGGACAGGAAAAATCAGATTGGCAGGGGTCTAGCCTTCTGTATAAAAACTCCCTTCATTATAAAGATATAAAATTAAGTGAAAATCAAGAACCTAAACTAGAAGTGCAAGCTATTAAAATACCTTTCAATAACAAGTGGTTAAATGTATTACCAATATTTAACCCTTGTAATAATATTTTAAAAGAAGAAATTGAACATTATTCAAACCAATTAAATGAATTAAAACTTTTCATGGGAGAACTAAATGCATATCACCCATAGTGGGAATTAAATGTAAACCCAAAACTTACTAACAAAACAGGTAAAAATATTTTCGAATTTCTAATGTATAATGCAGAAATATTAACACCACCAGACCAAACGACAAGGATAGATAAAAAAACAGGCCAAACTTCAACAATAGATTTGATAATAGGATCACCAACCACTTTGAAATAACAAGATAAAAAAATAGAATACTAGATACATGTATGACAGGACTAAAAACAACACACAAGACTAAAACACCATCTACACAATAAAAATTTAATTTTATCATTTTTACAAATTGCAGATGGTGAGAAAATAAAGAAGAAACAGAGGAACACTTATTCCCCCATTGTCCAAGATTGAACTTGGAGTGGTATTGCTGGAAGCTCTAAAGAAAATCAAAATCAGTAATACAAATGTAAAACTACCTGATTACAGGAGAAGATCTGCCAGGTGATCAGAAGTTCTACATAGATAGGATAGAAGAAGAAAGAAGATTCATGAGAAGTATCCAGGGGATATAGACAAAGTGAGTCTGAAACCCTATAAAAGAAGAAAGAAGAACATATTTTCTACCTTTGATATTTGTTACCACAGGTGATCACTGTTTTTACTTACATTTATATGATTGTATTGTTTTGTTGTTCATGCTATTATTAAACAATTTTTGCTGCTCTGAAATACATTTTTATATATATTTTTCAGGGAGAGTCTATGATGTCATCTCAAGGCAAAGGTAAGATTTGAGACATTTTAAGAGTATCTTTGGTTTATAAGTTCTGTATTTTAGCCTAGAATAGATTTTCCTGTAATGAAGCTTTTTATTGGGTTGTTTTAATGATAATCTTAATAAACTTTTAGTTACTCTTAACATTTGCTTATCATGTTATTACATATACCTGCCTTAATGCTACTCAAGATGAAAATTGTGATTTCAAATGATGTCATCTCGTGGCAGAGGTAAGGTTTGAGAGATATTAGCTTGGACAGCAGAGATTTTCCTTGACTCAATGCAATAAAGATGCAATAAATAATCTTTTAGTTACTCTCAACATTTTTATATCAAATTACATTTACCTGCCTTAATGTCATTCAAGATGATTTCAAGCAATAATGTTTTCCCACAGACAAAGCTGTCTCAGTGCACGTATCCAACCTCTCGCAGAACACTAGAGGACAGGATTTGCATGTTCTGTTCCGCCCCTTCGGAGACATCAGACGTGTCTTCTTGGCCAAGGACAAGAATACTGGCCAATCCAAGGGCTTTGCTTTCATCAATTTCAAGGTGAGACTTTTTTGGCTTTGTTCTTGGGTGATGGTGATGCTAATGTATAGCCTCTACCCTCTGTCTGCATCTTTCATTTGTCTTTAATATCTTTTTCCTCTTTAATCTATGTAGATTACTCCTTTCTCTTCCCTTTTGTCTAGCTGCTGTATTGTGCTGTACTAACTTGACTCTCACATCCTGTGGTTCACTCCTCTCCCTTTTTTTTCTTTAAATCTATCCCCATTTCTCCCCTAAATTTTGAAAATACAAAAAACCTGTTCTATGTTGCTATATAACTAAAAGATTTGATGGGGCAATCCAATTTATCAAAAATTTCTCTTCACCAGAGACAGGAAGATGCTGCTAAGGCTATACAAGATCTTAATGGATATAGTTATAACCATCAGATTCTGAGTGTTAAATGGTCCAAGTAAGTTTGTTAATTTTAAAATATATATGCAAAATTTTTATATATTGAATATAATTGTATTTTTACTTAAATATCTCTCCTGGTAATTTTGTAATGATATTGTTTGATGAATTATGTAACTAATGCTAATTGTCGAATTTCTCTTTTCACAGATCCGGTACCCAGAGAGACTAGCTATGTCTTTAAAGGATATTCAGTGCTATTAGGAGTATGCTGTACCATTATTGGAAATATAACATCTTTTGGTAAATGTGAAAGTATTTTAGTGTCCTACTTTTTAGGTTTAAGTTCTGACACATAGGAAAAGGTTTATTTGGCTAGAAAATTTCAAATCTAAAGAAAAGATCTGTTAGCAATTGGAAGTGTTATATATATTATATAAAATTGTATATGTATAGTTATATATATATATATGTATATGCATAATGTATAATATACTTTTATCATCAAATTTATGCACTGTAATATGCATGGCCGTTTGTACACAGGCTGTGGCTTCTGCTTCACTGTTTCATAATGTAATGATTTGATGACTGAAATTTACTTTATTGTGTGTACTAGCATGCTGAAGCATCAGGTTCAGTATTATGATCTTGTAAGAAATACTATACACGATGATTGATGTGAGAAATGATTTTAAACGCAGATATATATATATATATATATATATATATATATATATATATATATATATTTTCATATTTGCATTATGAAGCATGCCCTTTTTTATAAAGTGAAATATATTGTGTATGTTAAATGTGCTTCAATAATTTTTTCTATAAATTTGGTCATATTAAATTCAGTTTCCTTAACATTTTGTCTGTTTTTCATCAGTATTCCATTATGCCTTCAAAAGATTAAATGTAGTCTTTAATGGAGTTTAATGCACAATCTTTGAAAGTTTGTGCAAAAGTATGCATGTAGAAATTACAATATATGCATGTATTTTGTTTAGTGTCACTCTAAACATCATTAACATACAACATGTACCAAAGCAACACAGTGAAGCATTATTATTGCCAATTATACTTAATACTGTGTCAACATGAGAGGCAGTGTTCACATGGACAAACAATGTCTTCAAATTGTGTACCAATTCACACATTATCAGATCACATCATAGGTGAAGAAACGTTGGCAAACCATCAAATTGCCCTCGCTGGTCTCCCCTGGGGACAGAAATCAAATATCTTTCATAATGGCCAAAGTCTGCCCTTGGGAACTGCTCGATCTAATAATGCTGCTTATGAATTGTGTGATATATCTTCAGTGTTCAGTGTTAGTGCATGCTCTGCCCCTCATATGGACACGCTTAAGTGTAGGTTATATGTCCTTTATATTTACATATTTACCTTTTTATTTTATATAACCAAACTACTCTGTTGGTTAGCACTAACTGGAAATATCAGAGCGTTAATCCCAATTTAGGTATATCATCTTAGGCCACCATGGGTGCTTTCAAATGAATATAAAAATGAAAATGGTCAAGACAGGGGAAGTGAGTTAATAAGCTGTTCTAAATGTATATTTGGAACAATAACCATGTGTGTGTGTGTGTGTGTGTGTGTACACACACACACACACACACACACACACACACACACACACACACACACACACACACACACACACACACACACACACACACACACACACACACATTTGTAATTGTATACATATATTTATATATATATATATATATATATATATTTATATATTTATATATATATAAATATATAAATATATATATATATATATATATATATATATATATATATATATATATATATATATATACATATATACATATATATATATATATATATATATATATATATATATATATATATATATATATATATAAATATATATATATATATATATATATATATATATATATATATATATATATATATATATATATATATATATATATAAATATATATATATATATATATATATATATATATATATATATATATATATATATATAAATATATATATATATATATATATATATATATGTATATATATACATATATATAAACATATGTAAACACACACGCACACACATATGTATATATATATATATATATATATATATATATATATATATATATATATATATATATATATATATATATATATATATATATATATATATATATGATAGATATAGATATGTATTCATATTTATATTCACACACATGGAAAACCTTATAACTTTTGATAGAAAATTAGATATTATGAACACAAATCAGATACTGGAGAAACCATATATTTCCTTAAACAGGCCCTCTAAATACTGTGCACTTATTTTGATAAGAATCTCCCACTAAGAAATTCTGCTGACAATAAGCTTGTAATGGAAATTAAAATAAAAAAATACTAAAACATTTTATTGTGATTAAAGCCGAGAACTTAAATTACACTATCACACAATTCCCCGCGGATGAAGATGAACGGTGCTGAAAAGAGTCGTCATAAATATGGAAACGTTCACAACAATAAATAAATCCAGTGCTGATAAAACCGTAGCTAATACTGTACAAAAAGACAAGACATAAATCACGGCACGAAATACGTCTGTCGCACTGACTTGAGCTCTTAGTCTGAGGGTTAACTTTTGCCTCAACTTTTCAGATTCTTTTCGACTAAATGCTTTATGGAGGGAGTATGAAGCCAGAGCATCGAATGTCTTCGTATAAATCGGAAATATTAAGCCAAAAAGAGAACTTCATTCCACATTCCCTTCCTCAAACTATATAGATGACGCTGTTTATTTTTTTACTCATATAGGGCAAGTCAAGCCCCTACTGAGCTTACTGATAATGAGTATGTACTTACATTAATAACGTTGCTACATTATCATATAAGTACGGGTGATATTATGGGCGCACCATAAGATTAAGTCAGGGACACATTTGTAACTACAACCATTCCTGCTATGGATAATCTTGCCACATGTTCTCCCGGAAGAAAATGAATGCCAAAGGAGGGAAAGAAAATAACAAATCAGTCCCTAAATTTGGACTTGATGAATGCAGGGAGCGGCACCAGATACAGGATGAGGTTGAGCGTCAGCATCCCCCCGAAGAAGGCGAAGGAGAGGCCGAAGTTGGACCACAGATCGAGGTCCTGGCGGCCGAGGTCCAGCCCGTTCTGCGGGAAGTGGTAGCGCTCGAGCAAGTAGTAGGTTCCGTTGCGGTATCGGCATCCATACTCGGCGTTGTTATCGGGGCAGACTGCAGTGGCGTTGACGGGGAGGTTGGGCAGCTTGTCGAGGAAGGTCTGTTCGTGCAGGACGGCGGCGACGTAGCGGTACACGATCACGTGACTGAGGTAGTACAGCCAGTCGGGTAAACCCACGAGCGACCTGTGACAAGACAGAAACCCGAAGTTGTTTTATCTCAACACCTGCATATTTTCACTTGCTATTGACCCAGCAGTATCAACATATATCCAGAACCTAAAGGGAATATTAGTGATTATTAATATCGAAAACCTAATAAAACCAAGAAATACGATTTATTCCGGCAATCCCCCCAAGGAACTCACCTGAGCGTCGCCGAAGCCACAAGGAGATAGAAAGTCGTGAGCGCTATGGAGGCAGCGGCAGCACTATATGAGGATTTGACGATCATCATAAGGGCGACGGTTTGCTGTTCCACGAATGCCCAAACCGCCCATAACACCGACCCGAAGATCAACCAGCCCATCCAGTCCGGACCCTGGACTGCTGTATCCCCGAGTCCGAGGCCACTTCGAAAATAAAGGGGAGGTCATTGTCGGTATCGTTATCATTAGGATAGTTATAATTATCCTCATTGCCATCATTTTCACTTCTCGGCATTGCTACTAACATCATAATTATCTTCATATTTAGTATTTCACACATACATTTTTAGCCATGATGTTGATATACAGTTCTACTATATTTATAATATTTAAAAAAAGGAAAAAAAAAACAAGTTAGAAAAATATACACCGACTGTCGAAAGCCCTTCCCTTCCCTTCCTCACTCTCTACACTTCCCATCTCCCTCTCGCCTTTGCCTTTCTACCTCTCACTCTTTCTCTCTCCCCCATCCTCTATCTATCCTCTCAACTCACTCCCTCACCCAAACTTCCTTTCATTCTCCCTGCTTCCCACTTACAAGAAAACGATAGCAGAGGCAGCCATAACGTTGATGTAGGACACAGGTAAGGAGAACAGGTTGTAGGTGGTGATGAAGAGCGGCCCCCTGTACAGGCCTTCTCGAGCCTCGTGGTAATACCGTGTGCGGTGCTGAGCGACTGGCGACGGAAGGAGAACCAGAGGAAGTTAAATCTTTGGATATGAAGGCTTAAACATTGTGAGCCCGATGCCTCTGTACAGTATATACATTCCTGTTTATGTATGTATATATATGCAGATGTGTGATTAAAATATATCTGTATGTGTTATTACAAAAAAAGGGCTTAGGTCAGTTGTTTGTTATGAAGTTATATTGTTGTTTAATGGTTGAGTTAATGGGTTTGGTGATCATAGTGATTTGGATATTGAAAGATAAATGAAGGAACGTTATTAGTAACTGAATAATCGAGTCGTGGGTAATGATAATGTCCGCCTACTTTGAGAAATTAATCAGAGACTTTAGATGATAAGGAACAAAATGATACAGAAATGAAAGAACTTACATGTTTTTGAGGTAGCAGCTGTAGCAAGGTAGGCAGTTCCAGCTACGCAGTTGAAGATCAGGCCGCCTCTACTCTGGAAGGATCGCTGGTAGTCCTAAGGAAGAGGAAAAGAGAAAAAAATCAGAATGACTTCTAGGTGCGATTTTTTTTTCAATCGTCATAATTTTTGCTTTCCCTGTCTTGCTTGTGCATTTCTTTGTACATGATGTACTGTGCATTCATTGCCTATAGCTAATCCTCATATGTGTGCACTGTGCGTATACTTCTCTACATGTATGCGTTTCTACGTGTTAAGAAAATACAGTAAATATAAACCAAACACCAAATCATCACATCACCTTACCTCAATTTCCCAATAAAAGTTCCACAAAAGGAAGAAGAACGCAGGCAACATAAGCAGTCTGAAAAACAGCTGCTGGATGCCCATATAGCTGCAGGGAGACATCATGGTAAACGCCCGTCTGTCAGTTGGGGAAAACACGTGACATTAGAATAAGATCTTGGGTTCGCCTTTGTTTACGGTGACTCTGTTCTACATAGGAATAAGTATTTCTGGGTAATGTGAATAT